ACCTAAGGCAAACAAAAGATTGAGCGACCTGGGCTTTGGCAAGCTACCGCCAACCTTGGTCTTTGATTGATCTCCTTTAAAATCCTAGCCTATTTACCTACTGTATATGATCTCTTTTATAAAAATATTTGACTTAGGCATCGAAGGGGTGTTAGTGGGAAGCCCACTATCATCAATGTGACGCTTTTTCTATGATCTCAAGCCAAGTCAAGAAAATTTAGCTAACTCTCGGTGCAAAGATATTTTTCAATCATCTAATCTGATCAATGGTCCCTCATTGATTGAGTCCAATCTCACAGCCTCAATCATATAAGTTGTTCCATACATCATCAAACAGTAAATAATGATTGCATTTATAAAGAGCATTAGAGTGGAATAGTTGAAGGCTATTTACATTACCACAAAATCAGTGCATCAAGCGACTATTTCTAAAAATTTCTCCCCCGGATTACACTGAAAAGAACTTGAAAAAAAATACTTTCTAATTTGATGTTCTTATTTGAAAAAAAAATACTTTCTAAAATTAGTGCATTGACCATATTTCCATAGTAATCCGTCAAATCTTTCTTATTTGAAATTAGTATCCCAAATCATTTAATTTGATGTTAAATCTCATAAATCATATAAGCACTAACTATAGTTTTACTATCCTTGTGTGTGTGTTTTTTTTTAATTCATTGTTTAGATGAGTCCTCTAATAGGTTTTCAATAGTATTAGGCATAGACTAGAATGACAAAAGACGGGATATAGTAAGAGATTTTATAGGAGAATAGAATTAGATTTGCTACTTGGAATATAGGTATACTTACAGAAAAGACAATGGAATTAGTCGATATAAAGTTTAGAAAAAAGATAAGTATAATTTGTTTACAAATAACTAAATAGATAGGTAAAAAATCTAGAGAAATTAAAAAGATCGGATATAAACTTTGGTGCGCGGGAAAATAGAAAAATAGAAACGAAGCGAGAGTCTTTGTAGATAACATAATGAAACATAGCATTATAGATGTAAAAAGAGTTAGAGATAAAATAATACCAATAAAAATTGTATTAGGAGTAGAGGTTATTCATACTGTCAGTGCTTATGCACCACAAGTAGGGTTGCTTGAGAGTACTAAAAGGAAAATTTAGGATAGCTTAAATGAATTGGTGCAAGGAAGTCCATTACAGAGAAAATGTTTATAAGAGGGGATTTTAATGGCAATGTTGGTAAGGATAATAATGGATATGAGAGGATATATGGAGATTTTTAGCATGGAGATATGTACGACATGGGAGAATTAATTTTAGAGTATGTAACACCGTATGATTTGATAATAGCAAATATACAATTTAGAAAAGAGGATGAATACTTAATAACCTTGAAAAGTAGATTTAATAGTAGTCAAATAGATTTTTTTTTCTTACCAGAAGGATGGATAGATTAACATGCAAAGATTGTAAATTATACCATAAGAGAATTTAACTACATAACATAGATTGATGGTTTAGGCATGTCTATCAAGAAATAAAGTAGAAAAGTTAAAATAAACAAGAGACTAAAAACTAAATAGTAGAACTTAAAAGGAGATAATTTAATGCATTTTAAAAATAAGATAATGAAGAAAGATATATGGAATATGAACATCAAACTAATGTTATGTTGAATAGCATATCTTTGTGTATTAAGAAGGTGGCTAAAGATATACTAGGAGAATCTAAAGATTGTAGGTTAGAAGAAAGAAGAGTTAGTAGTAGAATGAGTATGTACAAAAGGTGATTAGAGAGGAAAAATAATCATATAAAGAGTGGCAAAAGTATAGAAGTAAGGAAAACTTAGATAAATATAAGCTAGCAATGAAGGAAGCTAAAAGAGTGGTTAGTGAGACTAAATACAAGGCTTACGAGAATATCTATAAGAAATTAGAATCTAAGGAGGAAGAGAAAGATATAGAAGCTTACTAAGATTAGAGAAAGAAAGCATAGGGATTTGAGTAATATTAGTGTATTAAAAGCGAATATCAAAGAGTTCTAGTAACTGACGAGAGAGGTAGGGAAGTTACTTTCATAAATTGTTTAATAATAACCAAACAAGTGAGCAACATAGAGAACTTGACTATATAGTGAATGATAGAAACTATACATACCATCTAAAAATTAGGGTTAGTGATGTTAATGATGCTATAAAGAAAATAAAAAGTAAAAGAGCCGTAGGACCAGACAATATGCATATTGAAGTTTGAAAATGTCTTAGAGATATAAGGTTAGGATGGTTAACTAAATCATTTAATAAGATTACTAAGATAAAGAAGATGCCTGATGAGTGGAGGATTACTACTTTGTTACTAATATACAAGAATAAAAGAGATATACAAAGTTGTATAAATTATCGTAATATAAAACTCATGAGTTATACTAAAAAACTTTGAGAGAGGATAATTGAGCAAAGACTAAGAAAGGTGACAAGTGTATCTAAAATTAATATGGTTTTATGCTCGGGAGGTCAACTATGGGACCTATACATATTTTGATATTATTGATGAAGAGATATAGAGAGAAGAGAAAGGATATACATACGGTTTTTCTAGATCTACAAAAAAACTTATGATAGAGTGCCTAGAGAGATAATATGGTGGGTTTTAGAAAAAAAAAATATGTATCTAGTATATATATATATATATTAATGTGATTAAACATACGTATGCAGAGTAACAACTAGAATATGAACTAATAAATGAGAGACTAAACTATTTCTTATTACCATAGGTTTACACCAAGGGCCAACCTTAAATTTTTATCTTTTTACATTAGTTATTGACTAATTTCTTAGGCACATTCAAGATGAAATCTCATGATGTATGTTATTAGTGGATGATATAGTGTTAGTTAACGGAACTAGAAGAGGTATAGTTTTTAAGTAGAAAGGTGGAGACAAGTTCTTGAATCTAAAGACTTAAGAATTAGTAGAACAAATATAGATTATATGGAGTGTATTTTTAATAAAACTAAGAAAAATGGCGTATAGTACATTTTGATGGTCAAGAAATATCTAAAAGTAATTATTTTTGCTACTTATGATCAATTATTTAGCATGATGATGAGATTGAGAAAGATGTTATTCATCGAATCAAATCGGGATGGTTAAAATGGAGGAGTGTTTCGGGAGTCTTATGTGATAATAGGATACCAATGAAGCTAAAGGAAAAAATTATATAAGACGGTTATAGGACCAACAATGCTTTATGAGTCAAATTATTGGGCAATTAAAAATAACATGGTGCAAAAGATGAATTAGCAGAAATGAGAATGATGCGATGGTCTTGCTGGTATATACTAAAAGATAAAGCAAGAAACGAGTGCATTCATAGTAATTTAGAGGTTGCTTCTATTGAGGATAAAATGAGAGAGAATCGACTAAGATGGTTCGGCCATATACAACGAAGACCTCTTAGTGCACCGGTAGAAGAAGTGATAGTATTGTAGCTAATGAGACTAGGAGATCTAGAGATAGACCTAAAAAAGATTGGTTGTAAGCAATTAAAAAGGATAATATAATGTTTAACTTAATGAAGGAGATATCCCAAAATAGAATAAAAAGAAAAATAGAATTCATGTAGCCACCCCAAATGTTTGGGATAAAGGCGTTGATGATGATGTTGTTTAGACAAAGTCCAAATAAGGTGAAATGTTAAGTTTAGTTTTGAGTTGCGAGATCCGAATATTAAATTTAACACTACTCCTCATAACATGGATAAAGTTAAACATGTAATTTTTCGATAAAACCCGTATCATTAAATTGAACTTACTACCCTTCTAGTTACATTGTTGTAGATGGAGCCCCTGCAAGAGTTCTCTTACTGCAAAGAGACCATTTGAGTGAAAACCTATTGTCGCAAATGGACTCTCTTAAAAGAGTAAAAATATTTACTCTGCGCTCCCCCCTAAATTACATTAATTAATTTATATTAGTTCCTACGTTATAAAACCCGTCTAGTTCGTCAACCGCGGTTAAGTGAATGCTTAATTATGAGTGACTAATTACCAAGGTACCCGTTTAATTAATTACCCGTTTGTAACTTGCTTGGGCTGAAACAGTGAGAAGCCCAGTCTAATACTAAATGCATAGCACAGCCTAACCGAGACTCCTCACTGTTTGAACGGCTGGTCAGAGTATGCGAAGGTTATAATTTCGCATAATCATTTTGTTTGGTGGGTTGATGCTCCAAATAACCACCAAATAGGAAATGGAATTGCTATCATATCTCTCATGGTTAAACTACTTTTTATTCTCCAATCGAGGCGTATTTGCTTCGTACGTTAGAATCTCATTAATTTTTTATCCTTAAAAACCTGTTTGGTTACACACTTGATTTCGAGAAAGTTTTTCCTGAAACGTCAGCATACGTCAGGTATTATAGGAAACCTCATTTCTAAGCTTTCGAAGCAAAAAATTGGTGGAGTGGGGAAACATAATTAACAGTGGAGTGGGGGGGAAAATTAACAGTTGGGACACGTTTTGGGATTCTTAGACGAATAAATTGGATTTTCATTAAGTGGCGGATTTCTTTTTCTTTGATTCCCTCCGAAGTGAAGGTTGAGAAACACTTGCTTTACATGCTTGATTTCTAGGTGATTTTTGGCGAAACAGACAAAAAAAAAGGTAGCAATTTTAGGAATCCTATTATTTAAGGAAATGAACCAAATTTAGGCCTAAAGGCAAATCATAATCCTAAATTTGAAAATTGAACTTCTATTAATGGGATAGAAGTGTTTTCCATTCTTAGTTAATGTTATCTCAAAGTTTTTCTAAAGTGAGGTTATTTCCAACAATTAAAAAGAGCTCTATTATAAATTTTTATCTCAAGCTTCCCATTGGAAAACATAATAATTCTCATAAAACTGTCATAGCTTGAGTTCTCCTAGTAACAAGTCGACAAATGATGAAAAAATATATGCTTGCTTCGAGAGAGTCTTCTTGAGTTGGGAAGACTGCTTCGAAACTTGGGTGTGATGACCAAAGTTAAGAAAGAACTCACTTATTATTATTGATGATTGATTGATTGATTGATGAAATACAGACATTTACTGTATTACAGCATTTTTCAACCCAATGAACTTCCACCTCTTTTATGCAATAGAACATACTTATGTCAACCGTTGATAATGATGGCATCCCGATCTGTTCAAGGGATGTGTTGTCGATAGCAGAATACAATAAGTCGGCAGTCATTCTTGCTTGCAGCGGGTGCTCCTGAAGTGAGTGATTTCTTTGCCGATGACTAATTGCAGTCTCAAGCTTCTTAATGGATAAAGAGACGTGCGTTCAAGCGCTTCACCCAGTAACAGCAAATAGACTTCAGGACTTTTGTTTCACTTTTAGATTATTGCCGTCAGCCTTGCTCCATGCAAATATCTATTTTGCATGTATTATCACTTTGTTTAATACAGTTTCTCGGCTAGATGCCTAGATTCACGTCCAAGAAACAAACACTAAAAATACTTGCTGAATGTATCATTACATGAGAAGGTGAACTGAGCATGTACCAAAATGTTCATGTCGATAAAGGTGAGCAAGGATGAAAAACTACAGTTGTGTTACTCGTATGCATGAATTCATAAGACCCCCGACAGATTTTTTGCCAGCCAAGACAAACTATCACCCTTCAGCCATGGATTTGTACACATTATTGGTAGGGAAGTTGGGACTGCCACAGGTCCCTCCGATTCAACAAGTAGTACACAAGGAAGGAGAACAATAGAACCAAAAGGATGAGCATTATATTCATCCCTGTCAAAAAAAAAGAAAGGAAAAGAAAAAATCACACCGTTAAGTCTTCAGATAGACACGTGTGACCAATAGACATCAAAAAGCTTTTGTATTTGCATACCATTCTTCTTTTTGTCTTCAATTAGTGTCACTCGAGCCGTTGAATCGAAAGATGCAGACAGTAACACCCTGCAATCGAGATGAATAAATTAAGCACAACCTTAAGCAAGGGAAATATGTTTCAGCAGCCTACTGTCTTCAATTAGTATCCTCAGCTTATGAAGGTACTTTTCACGGTAGCTTTTTCAAGTTTCATTCTTCTTTAACCACATTATAATTTATAGTATCTATTTTTATCCTTAGATATATCCAAGTGACAACTTTGTTGTACAAACTATTAAGGAATACCAGGAAAATGAAATTTCAATGTAAAGCAAGACTGAGAGTTATGCTGTAGACCACATAAAATAGCACCCTGATAAGGCACCCAGCCAAAAAAAAAAAAAGAAGAATCGTGAATACTTTCATGCCTGTGATTGCTCTTTCATCAATGCCAAATGCACCTTGAGCTGAGGGGCAGAGTACTAACCTGGAACCTTGGGAGAATGCCAATGAAGTAACAATGCCAAGATGCGCCTTCTTAACTGTTGTCATTGGCTGCATGTTTGAAGAATTTATGATAATGACGTCTCCTTCGAAAGTCCCTCTGTAGAACGACAAAATTGGAAGTTAAACTATATTTGTTCCACAATGAAGCAGACAGTTAATAAGAAGCAGATACACAGCATTACTTAGCTAAACTATATTTGCTCCAAACAATGGAAAATGGTAAGTTATTAGGTAGCAGATGCACTACTTTACTTCGTCAGTACATGAGATGTATTTTATGGTCATTTATAGTACCTTAAATCATTAATATTTAATACTAGTCCCTCAAATCTTCACATTGATATTAGTCCCCCAAATTGCCTTAATATTTTAATATTAGCCCTCTAGTTGGTGTTAAAATGGGTGGCGAATATTCCAGTTTCTTTTAACTTTTTTCTTGAATGGACAATTATACACCTAAAGTCACATACCAAAACCCGGAACCCTTTAAACTTAAACCCGTTAAGACCCCTCAAACCCTAACCTGTTTATTCAAAACTCTAACCCATTTCACCTTCTTTTCTAGCAGTACGTTATTTCACAATAGCAATGGAGGGAGGCTTGAAGAGGAAGGATCACTGAAGATTGAAGAGGATTATAGGTTTAAAGTTAGAAAAACCAAAAAATAGTGGGGGGGGGGGGGGGGGGGGATTGATATTCATCCATGGTTACTCAAAACCCAACTATGGTTTAGGGTTTTTAACAGTTGAACTAATGAAAGGACTAAGATCCAGCATAAAAAGGTAATTTGGGGGACTAATATCATAAAAATGAAGACTGGGGAGACTAATAAGTAATATCAAAATATGAAGATTTGGAGTTCTAATATCAAAATACTAATGATTGAAGAGACTACTATCGAAAAACCCTATATTTTAACTAGTTTATTTCCTTGCCTGGAAAGGGACCATCCGAAAGAAACAGACTTTTCAAATCAGAATAGTCGATACTGGATACCATTCTGCATCTTATTTTTTGGGCTCACATTATGAGATGGACAATGGGTCCACTTAGCTTTTTAATGACATACAAAGAAAATACATGAGGATAATTCCATGCACTTTTAATACATCTAAGTACAATCATATAATTAAGGTTTGTATTTGTAAATTAAGGTAACAAGTGACTTTCTGTACAATTTTACATCCATAAGTTAAAATCCAACTCAATTTATTTTATTCAAACATCTGAGAGCCGAAGTGTTTCCATAAATCTAGTTGCAGAGAAAGTAGATCACAAAACTCATTTTGACTTTTTAATGCGCTTTTCTTAACTGGATTACATTAAAATGAATAATAAAACACATTATGAGAGAGATATCAACACAAGTCTTAAGTAACACTTTTGCTTATTCCCTTTCCTAGGCCTCAATGAGGCACAACGAAGGTAATGGCCTTCCTATATTGTTGGAATATTGCAAATTAGCTCGCATTGGTAATGCCAATATTGGTTTTCATCGAGTTGCTTGAAAGTGATGCAAAAAACGGGGCAACATAGAGTGCTCTCCATTTCCATCAAGCCGGCTAAAGATTTCTTGTCAATATAATTATTATTTAATCTTAAAAATATATATAATTTGTAAGACGCACATGATAAACGTAATTTGCAATATGATGTAATGTGATGTAATATTCATCTCAAAGAATCATATTCTATCGCTAGTTGCTAAGCATATCAGTCTAGATAGAGAAGCAAAAGAAATATAATTGATTGTAGTACATCTTGCTTAGTGAGATAGTTGGATGTGACTGTATCGGTAGTAATTAAGTTATCAGACCTCATTTCTACTAATAAGAAGCATGTTAAACAAAGTCATGGCCTGTGTGTGTAGGTTATAACAAAAGTCCACCAGAAAAATAAGGATGACCCAAAAACCAAACATTTGGAAAATAAACTAATAGAGAGCACAGACGAGCCATTTCCATTCACTTACAAAGGGCAACCAAAAGGAAGCACAATATTCTCTGTGTTCACTCCTTTTTTGTGTGGTTAGGAGGGATTAGTTTGGGGGGAGGGGGACAATAGAAACAAACATAGTAAACGAAGGCTAAAACTTAGGCCATATTTGGCAATTGTGGATTATAATCCACTTAGCTTATAATCACTTTGTACATTACAAGCTAAATTGTTTAGTAAATTCAATAGATTATAAACCATTTCCAGTAGTTAAGTGTTTGGTGAATGAGTGGCTTATAATCCACCTTTGTTGTAAAAAACTAAAAATAACCAAAAAGGATTTTGGAGATGGAGAAACAGGGCTTTAGAATTTTCTGAAATGCTAAGGGGTAAAATGACCTTTTACTCGGTCAAACTGTGAGGCTTATTAAGGCACCAAAAGAAACAATGGGTTACCCCAGCTTATTTTCTTGTCTTAAAAGCCAAAATAAGCAGATCCAAACATGTCTCAACGACTTATAAGTCACAAAAGTGGCACATAATCCACTTTGACTAGTTACCAAACATGCTCTTAATGACGTCCATGAATCTTTTATTCTCATTGCTTCAGTAAGTAATTCCACAGCTGTTAACGCAAATTAGTGTTTTTATCATGAAATTGGGTGTTTTGTATTAAATTTGTAACTGATCACATAAAAGATTCGGGAAAGAAAAAACACAATTCATTAAGACATTTCAGAGAAGTTAGATTCTTTTGGCTTCTCTTGGTTACCA